TTAGGTGTAAAGGACAGAAAATACGTACACACAACGGCATGGAAAGCAAACCACCTGTGAGTAAATCTAGTAGGAAGCAGCCAAAATTCCCATCTGAAAGTATAAAAAGTCAAAAAAATACAAGAACAGTGGCTGTGGAGATGGTTGCTGTAGAGGCAAGAGAACAGGGGTTCAGATCCCCAGAAACCACAAAAATAGGGGTGGATGTGGAGGCCTGTCTTCAGAAGGCGGGGACGGATCCCAGGAGCAGGCTGGCTAGCTAGATACTGGTGAGTGCACTGGCTAGTTTTATGTCAGCTTGCCACAAGCTAGAGTCATCTGAGGGAAGGAGACCTCAATGGAGAAAATGACTCCTTAGGGTCAGGCTGGAGGCAAGCCCATAGGGCATTTTCTCCATTAGTAACTGATGTGGGGGTGGGGCCAGCCCATTGTGGGCGGGGCCACCCTGGGCCTTTGTTTCTGGGTTCTGTAAGAAAGCAGGCTGAGGAACCCACAATGAGCAAGCAAGGAAGCAGCAGCCCTCTGTGGCCTCTGCATCAGCTCCTGCCTCCAGGTTCCGGCCCTGTTGGAGTTCCTGCTCTGACTTCCTGCTCTGATGATGAACAGTGATGTGGAAGTGTGAGCTCAATAAACCCTTTTTTCTCCAGGTTGCTTTGGTCACCGTGTTTCATCACAGCAATAGGAACCCTAAGACAGCAAGCTCCAGGCTTGCTTGAGAAACCCTGCCTGCCTCGAAGGATAAAATACTCAAGGAAGACTCCAGACACAATCTCAGGCCCCATACTCAGGAGCACACATCTGTCAACATACACACACGAAAGCACATCACACATCACACACACACACACAGACACACACATCACACACACACACACACACACACAGAGTTTTACTACAATGCCTGGCACAATGTGTTTCCGTGCACACACAGAGTTTTACTACAATGCCTGGCACAATGTGTTTCCGTGCACACACAGAGTTTTACTACAATGCCTGGCACAATGTGTTTCCGTGCACACACAGAGTTTTACTACAATGCCTGGCACAATGTGTTTCCGTGCACACACAGAGTTTTACTACAATGCCTGGCACAACGTGTTTCCGTGGTTCCACAGACCATGGTCTTCCATGGTCACCTGCGTGACTCCCAGTTCCAGGGGTCCTTGGCTCTTTCTGAATCCAGCGAGATATGATGCTCTCAAAGGAAGCAGGGTTTGGGAAAGTCACATTGGGAGGGTGGACACGGGCTGCAAAGGTGCTCTCTGCAGACTTACATTCTGAGCAGTGAGGGACAGAGAAGAAAGATGCCCTCAGACGGGTCCCTGGAGCAGGGTGAGGGAGTGGAGTCAACCAAAGGTAAGAGTCCTTCAGCTGCTGACAAGCAGGAAATCAAATTGGCTTCTTCTAAAAGCCCAGGCCCATCACAGAAGGACCTCTGGGGCCTCTGGGGCAGTCCCTGGCTACACATCTCATCTCACATAAAAGAGGAGAAGAAATGTGAGCTCTGTGTTTAGCAAAGACTCAGATTCAACAGGGCAGAGGAGGCAGGCAGCTCTGGTACCCAGGGCTCCATTCTGGCCCCGGGTGGAGGCCACTTCCCCTGTTACCTGGATGAAAATAACAACAATGGGGTAGGGGGATGTAGATGTAGAGAGGTTAGTGCTCCTGGGCTCTCAGCCTGTGGATGAGCAGGGCCCACCCAGCACCGGGGCCCCAGGCTGCAATGAGAGGCCAGAGGCAGAGGCCTCAGCCATAGGCTCAAACCAAACCCCAGTTAAGTCTGAGATGCTTAACTGCAATTGTCAATGCAATTGTCAACATGGTTGGATTAAGGAGCACCTGGTGGTGACAGGCAGATGGATCAGCAGGTAAGGACACTTGCAGCCCTACTCTGATAACCTGAGCGTGGTCCCCAGGACCTCCATTGTGAAAGGACAGAACCAACTCCCAAAGCTGTTCTCTGACCTCCACACACGTACACACGCACGTGCGCGCGTGTATACACACACACACACACACACACACACACACACACACACACACAATTACAAATGAAATTAAAAAGATACCTGTGGCCTTGAAATCAAATAGATACCCGTGACAAACTTTTCCAAATGGATTAACTGGCAATGAGGAGACCCGCTCTGAATGTGGGCAGCACAGGCCCATGGACTCAGGGGTCCAGACTGGATTAAAAAAGGGGGGGAAGGCAGCTGACTGCACATACAGCCTCCCCCCACCCCAACCCCAGCTCCCTGGCCCATCAATGCGAGTGAGTGGTCTCACACTCCTGAAGCCACCCTGGCAAGCCACTGCCAACACAATGCCTTTTCCACCATGCTGGGTTCCCTCAAATCAGAGGTCAACCATCACTTCCTCCCCACCAGGTATTCTGTTCCTGCTGCAAAAGTAATACAAAGTTGACAACACCAAGGCTACAAAGGTCACCCAAGAGATGGCCCTGCCTACAAACCAGCACCACACATGGTGAGCACTGAAGTCTCTGTTAAACCAAAGAACATTGGTAAATACATAAATAACAAGTCAGGACTTAACTTCTTAGGGATTGGAAGAGAGGACTATCTTGTCAACATTTTCCCTCCTACAAGCCTAGGGAAGCAGTTACCTTGAAAGAACACACAACAGGAGGCTCTGCCAGCAAAGTCTATAGCTGGGACCTCACCCCACTCCCAGGCTTTAGGGAGTGTGCACCATCATTCAGGCAGTTGGCAAACGTTCTGGGAACCATGGCTGCACACATTAACAACTTTGCAAAGAGGCAGCTCCATGGAGACTGTCAAGTTACACCATCCCCTGAGTCCTGACAAGGAAGCAGTCTCCCTGGACACTGCCTCTTGGGCAACTCACAGTCCAATTTATCCCCAAAGACAAAATACAGTGACAAGGCGTCAGTTGCTATGGCTAAAGAGTGAGACAGCAATGGGTGTGACTCCCAGTTTGTTTGTTTGTTTGTTTGTTTGTTTGTTTGTTTGTTAATAATGAGCAAGTGCTTGAGGCTGGGAATGAAATGGATCCAACTTTCAGCCGGTGCTCTCTCTGACCCAGGCGGTCCCTCTCCTGTCCAGAGGGGCTATTTGAAGATTCACTCTTCACAAAAGGGGACTGCGGCTCTGAAGCACAGTGCCAGAAACCTGGCACACAGGACAAGCAAACACAGCAAAGCCACCATGGGAATATGTCCACCAAATGTCGAGAAAACAGGAGTGGGGGGGGCACAGCGCCTGGCTTGGGTGAGGACACTAGAGAAAGGTGGTGCTTTCAATGACCACAGGAAAGAGATGAGAAGTGTCCATCCAGGCTGACCCTTCCGTGCAGTGGTGGCAGCCATGGTGAGGAGCTGAGCCCATCTTTGGGGATGGCTGCCAGCTATGTACAGAAATGACAAAAGGATTACATGTGCTCTCAAGGAATCTGGGAGGAAGAACAGATGAGACCCAGAGTGGTACACACAAAGCTGGTGATGGGAACACAAGGATCACCACATGCTGGTCTGCACCCCTGTCTGTGTGTCAGTTTTCCATGTATGTATGTATGTATGTATGTATGTACGTATGTATGTATGTATATTCAGAGGGTAGGGAGATGGCTCCAGAGAGGAAGCGTTTGCTGAGCAAGCATAAGGACAGGAGCTTGCATCCCCAGGAGCCATGAAAAAGCACCGGCAGGCATGGTGACACCGGTTATCCCAGCCCCTAGGAGGCAGAGACAGATGATCCCAGGGCAGGCTTGCTGGTTAGGTCAGCCAGGATTGCTGAGCTCTGGGTTCAGTGAAAGACTACTAGATAAGTAAAATGGAGATCGATCAAGAAAGACTCCTGTCGTAAACGTCAGGCCTCCTCGCCTGTGCTCGCAGACACGCGCACACCCCTGGATACTCATACATCCATAAGAGCAAAGAAAAGGAAGCAAGGAGTCCACATCGGATGAGTAACTGAAGAAGACACGTCCAAAGGCAGCTGTGGGGCTGCGCTGCAGGGCGCCATGTGACCCTCCTTGGCCAGTAGAGCCTGTGGACAAGGCTATGCCGTGGGTAGGCCTTATGTAGCCCAGGTTGGCCAGAAACTTGTAAACAGCTGAAGAAGGCCCTGAGTACCTGCTCCCCCTGCCTTTGCCTCCTAAGTGCTAAGGTCACACTGGGCAAGGCACCTGCTGCCTAGAGCACCCCACGGTCCGGTTCTCCCATGGCCCACCCATGATGCTCCACACCCATGTGCATCTGCACAGCACATTTTAGGTAAAACACCTGGTGATAAACAAGGCAGCAGGTGATAAACTGTCCACTAAAGTGACCAAGACTTGAGGCTGACCTCAGGAAGGCCTGTGTGAGGGCCAGGACTGCAGCAGCAAGGACCAAGAGCACAGAGGGCAAGTGGGCTCCAACCCCGCCCCCTGCCCTGGACTCAACTCGCTTCCTCACAAGACTGGCCCACAAGGAAGGCCCTTGTCACCATGGCCCGTCAGCCTTCCTTTGCTTCAGCTGTTAAATGATCCAGTCTTTTCCAAACAGAAACTGAATCTTATGGACAGTGTGATCTGTTTCCCAGGGACGGAGCCCACATGTAAGCTGTTTCCCCACTGCACTGTTCTCTACCAAAACTACAAATTCTTACTCTTAATTATGATGTAGATGCATGGGACATTCACTATAAAAAGCCGTTTATCACTCACGCAGACTCAAGCTTTACTACACTTAATAGCAAATGAAAAATACAGTAAAATGGCCTCATTTCTCAAGATAATTACCGGTTCAATAATTATGAATTAAAGCCGTTATGATGCATGAAGCTTCCTGAGCCGTGTCCTACCATTGCAGAACAACCGATCCCCACGAAGACTATGATAGCAGAACGAGACTGTTCCCTAGCCCCACGGGCCGCGCTGTTACCAAGGCTTTTACTGCAGAAGAGACACTGGTGCCCACCAGGTCCCCCCTCAGCACAAAGCTAACAGCATGACAGGGGATACAAAGGGACACTCACACTGCTGTCCGCCCCTGACGGGCTGCTGAACACGTACTCCAGCTGGAAGACGATGGCAAAAGCTGGGTGACTGACCATCTCCGGGAGTCGCAAGCGGCTTCTCAAAACTAGAGCCTGGTTTCCAGAGCTGGTCGGAAACACAAACCAAGAGGTGTTGGAACACGGGCTCCTGTCCCACCTGGGTCCCCTCCCCACAGTGAGCAGCAGCAGTCCAGGGACTACAGGACACAGTGGGTCCGCTCTGTTCAGCCTACAGTGTCCACTGTGTTCACCACTAAGCAACACTTCCAGACTTGCAGAGAGAGCCTGCAAGGGAGACAGTCAAGTCACTGAGAGTGGCCACAGAGGTGTGGGAGGATCCTTCCAGCACTGAGCCCCAGTGTGACAGCTGACCTCTGCACACCCTACAGTGATGTCTGCACGGGGCATGGCGCGTGGGATTCAACACAGAGTAGGACGTGAAGCTTTTGGAAAAGAAACCCCAGGGCCCATCCAGGAGGGGTGCAAGGGGCTTCTAAAGCTCTAGGCCCAAAGTTGTCACAGCAAAACAAGGGCTTTTCCTAAGTGTCTAACCCTGATATTTTGCCTGATAAGTGTGGCAGAAAGGGAAGAGGTGATGGGGGCACCCTCAGGGCAAGCCCCCACGGCATGGAACAGAGGTGATGGGGGCACCCTCAGGGCAGCCCCCACTGCATGCTCTGCATCTTTATTTCACCCAGGCCCCCTGACACGGGGAGATACCTGCTCTTAGAAGAGGCGCTGATTCTCCTGCTGAAGCTGGCCGAGCGCGTCAAGGCCACATCCATCTCGGGTACGAGCACAACCACCTGTGGCCGGTGCACGAAGCCCAGGCCGTTGTGGACACAGACGTGCAGGCGCCTCTCCAGGACCTCTAGGGTGCCTCCATCCAGCAGGCCGACCCCCTACAAGAGACATGGGATACAGAGAAAGAGTCCTGCATGGCTAGGGAGGGAGTGGCCAGAGGAGACTGGGTGGGCCAAGGGGGGGGTCTACAAAACTCCCAGGAGGAGTGGCACTGAGTGTAAACGAGCCCACTCAAAGGGTAGACGCAGGACAGTGGTGACCCCTGGCCATAAGGCACACCAGGTATGTTAGGTATTTCCCCAGGCAGCATACACTGAAACACAGACAGCTCAGCTAACAATTCTCAAGACACAGCAACCTCGAATGCATGGGCCTCCGATCCTCTGAAGCCTGGGAGCCACCCCCCTCCCTGAGATGAGCATCTCGATGATGGAGAGGGACCCAGGGGCAGGACACACCCAGGTTCTACTCTGTCCTTCGGTAGGAAGCGGGGTGGGAAGAGGATACAGGCTCAGGCAACAAATCATAAGCTGACAGACATGGAGTCTGCCCCAAAGCCATGGCTGGACACCGCAGACCTCCATCTTAGTGAGAAAGGCAGTACAGGCCCTAACAAATGGACAGATGTCCCTCCCAGCTTATCAAGAAACCCATGGCCCCTAGCAGACGGGTGTCACTCCTGGCTTCCCTGTTTATAAAATTCCAAGATTGTTACTAGTTGATCTTGACTTTTTTTTTGGTTTTTTGAGGCAGGGTTTCACTGTGTAGCTTTGAAGCCTATCCTGGCACTTGCTCTGTAGACCAGGCTGGCCTCGAACTCACAGAGATCCGCCTGCCTCTGCCTCCCGAGTGCTGGGATTAAAGTGTGCACCACCAACACCCGTCGAACTTTTGTTTTTCACTGCCCGTTAATCAAGGGGAGTGGGCCAAATCTCAGCCGGTTAGTCTTTGGTTAACAAAAATAAAACAGTGGAGATATGTGAAAAGGACAGCAAGGCAGTAAGAATCCCCCCACACGCACACAGTATCTGTGAGACTGTGTCAAGCCTGACAGAGCTGTTCTTATCCCTTCATCCCTCAACCTGATATGCAAAGAAGGCAGCAGGAACTGCTCTTGACCCTATTCTCAGCCCTGTGCTTCCCTACCGTATGGAACAGAGCCAATGAGTCCCCCCATCCATATATACACCTCATTAATATCTAATTAACAATAATAGTTAAAAACAAAATGGAACCAATGGAGTCATCCATTTGAACGGCTTACGTCAAACACTGTTAACACATGTCTCATGGTGCGGTGAACAAACAGCTCATCTTTATGGAGCACATGATCCCAAGAGGGGACGAGGGGACAGAGGACATCCCTGAACAAAGAAGAGGGTCAGCTGCGCGTCCCCCCCCCCAGGTAGATGTGGGAGAAAGTAAAACTATGAGCTCTGGAGAGGCCCGACCCGGGTAAAGGCCACGCTCAGATCCACAGGGAGGAATCCCGGGACGTGAGCAGGGCACCGGCTCTGCTCAGGCTAAGCTGCAGCAGGGGAGACGCTGAGATACCTCCCGGAAGTGGTCGCTGATGAGCAGTTCCAGAAGCTCCTCCTCAAACTTCTCCAGGGAGGGGTACAGGGTGAAGAAGATGTCATCTAAGTGCCACGTGGTGGGCTTCTGGAAGCGAGGCTTCCGCAGGGCATCCCCTGGAGTGGGAGGAGAGAGCTCAGGTTATCCTCGCGGGGAAGCGGAGGCCACACACCAGGGTCCCATCAGTCTCAGGCACAGTGATCGGGACCTGCAGGCAAGAGCTGCTCAGACAGCGCCTCAGAACCTCTGCGGGGCAAGGTGGACTCAGCCAGGCTCACCCAGCCTCTGCTCCCTCCAGCTTCTGTCACTTGCGGCTGCAGCAGGACCACGCCAGCTCTACTGCTCACCTGCGCCGAGCCCTCAGAAGGAGGCAGCCAACCCCTTCTCACAGCCCTGCGGCACCTGCGCTTCCTCCCCGCCAATCCCGCCTGCACTTGTGCCTTTAGATAGAAGGCTGTGGGGGTCTTGGGAACCAGTTTCAAAGGCCAGCCTAGACGCCCTCCTGCTGGGAGGAGGGATGGGTGGAGGAGAGAGGTGGACAGAGACAAGCTAACACTTGGTGCTGAGGAAACCATCGGAAGAGCACTGTGGCCTCCCGCTAGAAGGTCAGCGGAGTGGGGCAAACTTCCGTGTCAGCTCCACCAAGGGCTCCACCGAGACAACGGCACGCCGCCTCACGGCAACACGGGTGCATCGGATGCCGCCAAACCTTCTAGTGGGAAATGTTGATGAAGGTGCATTCATGTGCTGGTGTGCACACGGGTACACTACATGTGTATACACGCGTGTGTGCATCTGTCTGCACCTGTGTAAGCGTGCATACGTGTTTTGATGGGGATCAACCCAGTGTCTCATCTGTGTCGACAAACACTATCACTAAGCTGTACCCAGCAATATCTGGGTGAGCATCAGGTGCCACCCTGACTTGGGGGCCTCCCTACACTGCAGCAATCACTGTCCTCAATGGATCCCCTGGGCAGTGAGGTGCTACTCTGGCCCTAGGACCCTGATAACAGAGACAGTGAGGCTGCCGTGTGGCGGCTCCTTGCAAAGCTTCTAGGAAGATGAGGGTTAGGGTTAGGGATAGAGGCACGTCCAGCTCTCAGGCGACTCCAAGCAGAAGGTTACTGCAAAACAGGGCCAGATAATAACAGGAGAGAGAAGGGGAAGGAGGGAAGCTGGAACCAGAAAAGAGGGATGTGAGAGATGTACCAGAGGCCTCTTCCTGCGACTCCCTACTCTCCTCTCTACTCAGCAGACGACCACGTTCTGCAAGTTAATTAATTACATTCACAGAGGCTCAGGCAGGGAAGTTCTCCGAGCAGCCTCAGCACTCCTTAGGGACAGCGTCCTTCTCACCACAGGCTGGCAAGCAGTGGCCCACTCGGACCCTGATTACAGAGCACGCCACAGAGGCACGTGACTCCACAACAGGCAGGAAGGACCCACACAAGCGTCACTGTCGGAACAGGCTACAGTCTGGACTGTGCAGCTGGTGAGAGACGACGCCTACTCCTTCGACACTGAGCCCCCCTGGCAGCTGTGACACCAATGGGACCATTCACAGTGCTGTCTACCAGATTCCCGGGTGTCAGGACACTCTGGGCACCCTCACACACCCTCATTCCCTAAGGGCCCCAGGGCCACTGTCCATTTGACATTTCGGAAGGACTGGCTAGCAATGCCCAGCTCCTATCGTTTGCTGTCCCTGTCACTGGACAGAGAAAGTGCTACTGTGCCTCGTGCCACTACCCAGCTAAGGGCACAGAGGGAGTGCCCACCTTCTCACGGTGCTGACCCCGACTCTGCATCTGTATTATCTGCTGATCCAGAAACAGGAAGGGAACTGGGCATCCTCCTTGCCCTCTCAGGGCTTACACTGCCTCGGGCAGATGGTGGGTCAGCTCCATGCCATGGGACACTCCAATGCTCAACAATCAGGCACAATCATGAAAGACAAGCAGCCCGCCTGGCTTTGCACAGGCTTTGGTGCAAGCAGGGGAAAGCCATGGTGGGGAATGACAGACTGCCCAGGACACACAGTGAGAAGAGAAACCAAGCTCAAGCAGGGTACAAGGGAGGCAGAGTGGGGATGGGGGAAGAGAGGGCCACACCAGAGGCTACACCCTAAAGGCCAGCAGCACAGGCAGGCAGACCCACAGGCCAGTTGTAAGAAACACAGAGCCCAGTGAAGAGCTGAGCAGAGACGCTGCAGCCGTTACAGGAGCCTCTCTATCACTCTGCCAGACCACCTGGTAACCAGAGCAGGCCAGCCCATAGGAGAAGGGCAGGGTCTGGCCAAAACCTCCACTCACTTACGAGGGCAGGGACTGAAATGAGGGAGGGCTCAAGAACTGAGCTCAGAATGGACCCCGACTCTCCTTGTGGCCCTGGACCAGCTCCCCCATTCTCAGCAGTTCAGTTCTTTAGCTCTGCATGAGCAGACAGCATCCCCCCCCAAACCCCGCACCAAGACACACACACACACACACACACACACACACACACACATACACACACACACAGCAGTGGGGAGCCAAGTTCCCATAGAAGACCCTCCTGTGCAAGCCACCCCAGGGACCCACTGTGAATGTCCCATCAGCACACACCCCTCCTCTGCTCCTGGGAAGGACACATGTATGTAGACATACGACAAAGATCAAAACAGCCAATCCCAGAGGACTACTGTCAATCAGCAAGAGATTACGGGCCACGGAAATCTCTGGTGGCTCACCAGGGGCCATCCCCAACGGCCGGTGGTCTTGACCAAGTCCTCAAGTAAGCGGGAAGGGTATCCTGTGTCACCTTACCCGAGAATCTTCACTGTGTTTGCAAGCACATGCCAGGCATGATGGAAAAATAGTGTGAGCCACAGTTTGAGAGCCGAAAAGCCATTTCAGTGAACGGGTGGTTGTTACATAGAGAATTTAAAAGCAGGGAGCATACTGGATGCACTGAACCCCTTCCAGGGCCGAGCAAGCCAACCAGCTTGTCACCAGCATGGCTGTGACAGAAGAGAGACCCACATTTGCTATGGCTAGAGCCCTCCCTGAGAGCAAATCTATAGTGTCCCCTCTCTACAAGCTGCTTAAGCAACACAGCGAAGGCAACGGTGGGAGACGGCCAGTTCTTTTGGAGGGATCATCCTAGGGCCACACACGCAACCTTACATGGTAACAACACAAGAGAAAGCAGGGAGATGCTGGGGAGCAGACATGGTGGCAGAGCCTGCTACTCCAGGAAGGGGCCTGAGCTGGACAGGAAGTATGGTCCCATGGCCAAACCCATCAGGGGCCCAGCTCGGCACATAGGCAAGGAAGATGACCCCAAGCACAAAAGCCACAGTGGCAGGGAATAGAACCTTCTAGAACTGACATAAAGGACTAAGGAGGCTGGGCAGGTTTGGGAATCCCTGTGGAGAAACCATCTCTGGGCCATGTCTTTGGACTCTGCAGGCTCTGGAGCCAAGTGCCTGAGTCTCAAGTGTGGCTCTGCTGCCACGCTGCTCCCCAGCCTTCAGGGGGCCAACGCTGGAGGGAGAGCAGCAAAGATGCTGACAGTGGCTTTCTCTGCAGGGTCAAGCGTGGACGGGAGAATGTTTAGTCTTTCCTGAGTTTACTGAATAAGGATGTGGCTGTGGCTTCAAATCTTTACAATATAAAGATGTCAACGCCCATGAACAACCCACATAAAATGCTCACAGTGCTCAACTTTCTTACATGTATTTCAGTGCGACCAAGAAGTATCACGGCAACACCACTGATACTGCAACCCAGGAGGGAGGGAGGGATCCAGTGGCAGCGTGGGACTCAGTGACGGGTGTCGCTGTCACCTCCTCTCCCACCACACCATCAGGCCACACTGCTGAGCTACTAGGGGACACGTGGGCAGCCCAACCACCTTCACCCGTCAGGATGAACCCAGGTCCTCCGAGGTTTGAGGCAGTGGCGAGATCCAAGGGCAGCTTACCCATGTCCCCGTGAGGAGGTAGGAGGCCAGGGATCAGCTGGAGACCAGACACCAGGAGATTCTCGGGGAGCAGGTGGAAGGCTGGCTCCAGAGGTGGGTGTGGCTTCAGGGTGTACTGTAGGCTACAGTTCTCCATCAGTGTCATGTGCTTGCTCTCTGGGGGGAGGAGCACCAGACATGGGCTAAAACAGAGACTATTTCCAGTCAAACAGCTAAAACCCAGAAATTTAGAACAAACGCATTGAGTAGAGGGCTTGTTTTCCTAAGGAATGACATCAGGCGAGGTGGGCAGTGCTCAGGAAAGTCAGGAGCTCAAGATGAACGCCAAGACCGGGCTAGGCTCTTACGTTCTATGGGATCCTGGAGAAGTGGGTGCAGAAGGGCTCTGGGGGTGCCATGATACAGCCTCAACCTGAAAGACAGAACCAGGAAACCATGTCAACCGCACATATCTCATGACCAGGACAGTTCCTGGGACCAGGCTCCCAGAGCCTCTTAAATGTTGCTGGTCACATCTGCTGCAGAAACAGAGGTGGCTGAGGGCAGCACCAGCCCTGTCATGATAAAGACACCCCACAGACCTGCAGCCCAAGGAACAAGAAGCCAGAAAATGGACTGGAAAGATGGCTAATAGTTAACGGCACTCGCTGCTCTTTCCAGAGAGACTGGGTTCCATTCCCAGCACCCATGTGGGGAGGCTCATGACCACCTGTAACTCTAGCTCCAAGGGATGTGACACCCTCTTCTGGCCTCCAAAGGTGCAAGCATGAACACACACACACACACACACACACACACACAATAATAATAATAATAATAATAATAATAATAATAATAATAATGTTTTAAGCTACTAAACAACAGAAATAGCCAGACTGAGAAGTCCCAGGAAGACAGTATCCAGCCCCCTTCCTGGAGCCGCGTATTCACCCAAGCATGGCATCCCCAAGCATGTGTCTGGCAATGTCTGCAGGGTATAGCTAGTTAACACGCTGAGCAGAAACTGCTCCTGGCATCTGCTGATGGAGGTCAGGGACACTGCCACAGAATGGCTCCACAGAGAAGAATGACCAGGCCTGAGTGAGCAGCTCCAACACCAAGAAACTCAGGTCTAGAGGTGTGAACTTGAATCCTAGCCGGAAGGATTCCACAGAGCTTATCTGTCTCAGGTGTCCAGTTTCTGAACAGCCTGGTGTGCAGCAGGCACTCGACTGTCACCTGCTGAATGGTGACTACTACATAGTTAACATCACACAGCTGCCTCTCGTGCACAGGTGAGTGGGTAAGACTGCCTAAAATCCCACATAGATCAGATCAGACCTTGGGCCCGTGTATATACCACATCCAACCCAACACCCACCCAAAGTTGTTTCTCACTCATAGACAAGAACAACACTTTGCTAACTTAAAATTAGCACCAGACACACATGTGTGTTGTACAGACATTCTTGCAAACATAAAATAAAAAATAATTAAATCGAGAAAGAGAGGGGAGGAGGAGGAGGAGGGGGAGGAGGAGGAGGAGGAAGAAGAAGAGGAGGAGGAAGAAGAAGAGGAGGAGGAGGAGGAGGAAGAAGAGGAGGAGGAGGAGGA